TATATATATATATATATATATATATATATATATATGTAATGATAATAATATAAGAATTACAAAAATTAAGCTACAGGAGCAAAGCTTCATGCTTTAAATTTGCGGTTTTAGTTCATTGTTGTTTATTTTATTTTGCATTGCATTGCTATTGATAGGTAACCTCATAATGGCACAGCAGCCCACAAAAATAAGCTTCACAGTTGTCCCCAGTCTAGTTTTTTAGCCAAAGTAAAGTATTTATTCTCCTGCACCACCTCTATTTCTTCTCCAGCGATGGTAATACCTTTTGATGTGCGTCTGTTCTGAAATATAAAATCATCTCCCTTTTTTTCACCTCCAGTATCAGATGACTGTTTCCAAAGCATGCCACAAAGCTGTCCACCAGCTCCCTTTTCAGCTTCTTGTCTTTTCAGATTTTTCATAATAAAAACTCCAACCGGTGAGAGTCCCGTTCCATGATGTGCTCCTAGGCTGCTGAATACTTGGTCAGACATTTGACTCTAGTCTCACAATCTTTTGGTCAATTCTTCAGGTAATCTTTTATCCGGGCTATTTTTAATGCTTCAACCTGATCTACCTCTTCTGGTAGGAAAAAAATACTCTGAACATGTTCCTTGAGTAAATCTGTTGAATATAACATGTATTTTGAGTCCACTCTATGATTTCCCCTCTGTTTGAAGCCTAATCGAGTAATTGCCCACCTCTGCATTCAAGTACAGTGATATCTCGGTTGTTAAAGCAGGTGTTTGTACTTTTTGTAGTGCAAGAATACAAAATGTAAAATAATCAAATTGGCATAAATCAGAATAGATATTGCTCTGTGTGGTAGGGTTGTCAAAATAATCAATATTTTCAATTCAAAATGTAGTTGATATAAAAAAAATGTATTAGATAAATAACTCAATTTGCTTCAAAATAAATATAAACTGTCTCATTCACATTAGTCCAAGTTGTAGCACTTCTTGCGGCAACATTACCATTAAAACACACTCAAATCTTGTTCTCCCTACAGCCACTTAGCTGACCAAAAACCATGAGCTAATGTGAACCTTAACCTTTGAAAATAAGGTTGGATTATGTTGAAGCTGCTTTAACAGTGTCACCATTTGCAATTTATTCATTATAAATCTCTCCCTGTTATTAAGTGATCTACAATTAAATTTTAAATTCAGATTTCCCCTCTTAAATATTCCTTTAACCATGTTATAATTACCCCACCTACTGTTTTCTTTTTATACATGAGCCTACTGATTTGCTATTATAGGCATGGTGAACTTGTTTTAATTTCTGTCTAAACATAAAAAAGTAGCATTATATGCCATTAAAGCAAAGAAATCCACAACGCCAGACCTGATAATTAGATTTCCTCTCGTCAAAGAGACAGAAGGATGCACAAGGAAAAGGTGAACGGCAAGAGAACAGGGCCTGTTTTTAACAATATGGAGTCAAAATGTCAGTAAAGGCCAAAACACACTGTGGTGCAGAGGTAGGCTAGACCATGAGGTACACAGAGAGCATGTCCAAGATTTATTTATTATATTACACTCGGTGAAAATGTATTTAGCAATTATATTTTTTTTCTCCTGCACCTCTCTGGTTTTGGAGAGATAGTATTTCTTGTCATTTTTTGCAGTGGCGGCAAATATCTGAGCAGACCTTTACATTTGCTGATGCAGGGGGAGGAACAGAGATGTATGCAGCTGCCGGTTGTGATGCATCATTGGCTGGGAGGCATTGAATCGGTCCAATGACAAGGGAGAAGTCAATCTATATTGTCTCTTTTCATAGCAACCCAGAAAGCATTTACGAGATGCATCACTTATGATACAATTAAGGGAGTTTTATCTTCAAAACAGATGACAATCAGCATTACTGAGGTGCTTTGTCCTGTTTATGCTTAAGTAGAAGGAATGATTTGATTGTGATTTGTGCACTCCGCATTCAAACTCTGTTGGTTTAACCCCTGCTTGCTAAAGACAAATGCTATTCCATCAAGCAGGAAGGAGGAGGGTATCTAGACCACATATACATTTTTGTTTTATTTGATATAAGAGGCAGGGAAAATGAAAAAACTAAGAATACGTTATTAATGTATTGGCCGTTTTATGTCCTTTTTGGTTCTCACATGTTTTTTAGAGCACAACTGGCTGGATAAACATGTCTGTAGACAAAACTACTAAAAACAAATATGATTTATGTTCGGAGCAGTTATGTTCATTCAGACATTGACACTTTTTAGGAAAAAGGGTCATAACCTTATTTTAATATAAACCTTTTTTAGCATCTTTATATAGAATATTACTGCAGGTTCAGTCCATATGACTGCAAAGTTTAAATGGGTATATAGTCAATTTAGTTCTGGGGGAAAAAGAAAACACAAAACACATGTTGAGTCAAGAGCGCCATCTTGTTTGCAGTTAATGAACAGTTTGACAAGTTCAACCTTCTGTCCTTCACGTTTTCCTTTTACCCCTGCTGTTCTAAACCTGATTCATATCCATAGGTCCTTAATAGACAGCAGCAGAGCTTTAATAAATATAACAGGAGGTAGTTTTGCCCTTTAAATCAGGTGTGATGGAGCAGATCCCATCTAATAACTCAAGGACATTAACCACTAAGGACTGGAATACAGCTCCATTGCTGCAGACTATGAGCTTTACTCATGCCATTGTGATCTTTGGATTGTGGAAAGTGGTTGGGAAAAATTCTGGTGAGGTAGAGATGAGGTCCAGAGCAGGGCTCTGCAACTGTGCCTCCAGAGCCTTTGGCCCTTTCAGTGTGGCTCCAACACCAAATAAGAAAATTGTTTACATATTAAGGAAATAAGAAGAGGTTTCTCTGTAAGTTTTCATTCAATATCCGCATAAAATCTCCACAACAGCACAATATAATTGTTAGAAGCCTTTGGAAAGTAAAGGTTTTATGAACTTTAACTATGTGCTTTATTTTTTTCAATAATAAATGATTATCTTTCTGTTGTTAGGATCAAATGATTATTTTTACTTTAAAATGAAAAATCTTGCTTTAATTATATGCTTTCAACATTTATACAATCTTTATTTTGGCTCTTGTTAAATATTATTTTGTAGCAGCAGTGGCCAAAGTGCTTCTTTGAACTGAAAAAGTTGCAGGCCTCTGGTCTAGGGAAAAAAAAAAAGACAAAATGAAGTAGAATGAAGTAAGATTCCCATGTGTGAATAAGGTTAGAGACGAGTGGAGCTGCAAGGAGTTTAAATACTTAAGGTGGGTCAGTTTAAGTACATGAGGTCAAGCTCACGAATCAGCAGGGCTTACCCAAGAGAGAAGAGAGTGTAGGAACCAAGATTCTCTCATAAGAAGAAAAAAAAACAGGCTCAAGCTTGCTTTTAAACGGTCTAAAAGCAAAGTTTAAAAATAAAATACTTTCCTTTACATTTTCTTTATAGTATCAACTGATGTTATGTTTATGAAAGGATTGGATTGCAGTACCCTTAACCTGAGGGTAAGGGTTTAAAAGCAGAGAAGGAAGAATGCATTTTCCTTGTTGAGATCTCTGTTTGCAGAACTGTTCTAGGTTATCATTAGGCCTGAGCAGCAAGGCTCTGCAAAGGCCTATTGTAATTAAAATATTTATTATTTTTCTCCCAAATGAAACGCATACAGGTGCTGGTCATAAAATTAGAATATCATGAAAAAGTAGATTGATTTCAGTAATTCCATTTAAAAAGTGAAACTTGTATATTATATTCATACATTACATACAAACTCATATATTTCAGATGTTTATTTTGTTTAATTTTGATGATTACAAATGACAACAAATGAAAATCTCAAATTCATCATATCAGAAAATTAGAATATTGTGAAAAGGTTCAAAATTGATGGCCCCTGGTGCCACACTCTAATCAGCTAATTAACTCAAACCACCTGCAAAAGCCTTTAAATGGTCTTTCAGTCTAGTTCTATAGGCTACACAATCATGGGGAAGACTGCTGACTTGACAGTTGTCCAATAGACGACCATCGACACCTTGCACAAGGAGGGCAAGACACAAAAGGTCATCGCTAAAGAGGCTGGCTGTTCACAGAGCTCAGTGTCCAAGCACATTAATAGAGAGGCGAAGGGAAGGAAAAGATGTGGTCGAAAAAAG